TATATATATATAGTGATGTAGTAATATATCATAAAATCATGCATGCCAGACAGTCTGCATCATCTGGTCACGATAGGATTGTCGCACTGATGATATTCATGTTTATAACTAATGTCCTTTCACCATACATAACTAATGTCCCTTCCCCATACATCCATCAGTGTTTACAAGATAATAAATATTCATCGCTATGCGAGATCGTGCATGATGAGTTCATTAGTAATAGTCATTCCAATAGCGACAGATTGTCATGTGAAATTGGAATTTATTTTCGAAAGCACGAATTTGGTTACAGCGTACAGTATTTTCAGTGATTATGATGGCATTCAATTTCAAAAATTTTGATCCATTCTCTTATGATCAACGTCAATTTTTCGCAAACCCACTCAGTGACGCCAATGAAGCTGAGTGACAGCTCAATCTTTGTGTAACAATTCCCATTTTTCTCATGACTGGCTTTCTTGTTTATTGCTCAAAAAAGCGCTGTGATTAATTATTCATCACTGTTCGTTGTTTTTGTTCATCGGTTTCAAAGGAAAATCTGTACAGTTGTAGAAAATATGTACTTCTCTGTCTTGCAGTCAAATCTAAATCGCATTCTGATTTAGATTTGACTACAGGATAGAGAAGAACGTATTTTAATCGTATATTTTACTCAGGTTAATGGTAAAGCACACAATTTACTTTGTTTTTATGCCAATATTGCAACACGACAGATTTCATCTATCCAATTCATGGAATGAGTCAGTTAGCTCATACGAACGTTGTGGATTTCAAGTAAATCGCGCGTTGGCATGATCACGTACATACCATGAATGCTTAGATGAGAGACAAGGATTCGTAGTTAAGATTCATGAAATTGTTGTGACGACAACTGCCATCAACCAGATATACTTGTTAATTATGCTTACACAAGCGGATACGTCTGACAGCAAGCATGAAACCTCCTTTAAAACAACGCACTCATTAAAGAATGCATATTATCGCATACCTGTTTCAAAATCTCCATCATATTCCACGACACAAGTGATATTCCAGATTTCGACGATAATCTGTCGACGTACACAAACGTGTGTGTCGACCTATTATCGTATGTCGAGGGACGTTCAATGTTATTTCCGAAACTTATCTTTCAACTGAATGAAAATTCCTCCCAAAAAAATCTTCCCGCTTTCATTCGTAGAACGAGAAGAGATAAACTTGAAGTAGGCTTTCACACTGCGTTCAACGTGAGGAGAAAGGTCAGTTGTTCATCCGTTCTAGATCTATGCCGATCAAGATGTTTCATGAGAAGGTTAACGCTTGAATTGCAATAAGAAGAGCACTTGAAAATTTGTTTTGATTGGTTAGCGATGTTAAGCAATCAACGCCTAAGAAAGGAGAATATAATTCAATTCGACTCCAATAAAAAGAATTTTAATAGTTCGCTATAAGAACGATAAAATCGTTTCCGCAAGGCTATGCCTACCTATCGCTTAATCGCAATTTACGATCTGTAATAACATGCACACACATCTACAAAACACACGATGATTACGAACTGAATAAACGTCGCAACCGGACAGTGATATTAATATCGTGAAGGATTTTGTGATGCCTTGCTGCTGCGAATGCTGCTAATTTCATCTGCAAAGCGATTCATTCACCTCTACAAATAATCAATTTTCTCTCTACATTTGCACATCCATCTAAGAAATGAAAAGCTTCAGAATGTGATGCAATATTGTTGCATTTTTATTTTTTCAGTGAAATCTTGTCCTATAAGCGGTTTTGGTTCAGTTCAATACCACTTTATTACATTCTTCAAGCACACAAGAGTACTCTTTCATTCACTGATGACTGACGCTGACACACATTGATCATTTGATGCATTTATTATTGAGAATGTTTCAACTGAAGTGTAGCAAATGAAACGAACAAAATAATGATCACAAATAAGCGAATATTTACGCAGAGACGTGGATAAATATATTACGTACATATCCATGACATATTGCATACATGTATACTAGTGATGGCATCCCAGTAAAATTTCACTCGGTCGAAATCCGACCGACATGACTTTTTGCCATTCCAGTGTTCCGAATTCCGGCCGACTGTCGGAACGGATCGGTCGAAGTCCGATCAACTTGACCGGTCAGTCGGAATTCCGACCGTCCTGCAAACTGCTCGATCGGAATTCGACCGCTGGAATTCCTACCGATATTGTCGGATTTTCTCGACCGACGGTCGGTCGAATTCCATCACTAGTGTTTAGAGTCATTTAACCAGGTTCTCATCTGGAAATAAGATTCTTGAAACATTTTTCATTTCCAAACACAGGTGAGATTTTAGTCCGAAAATTTCAAAAATAGTTTGAAGAAGCATTTTTATGTTTAATTTCTATGTTTTCATTTTTATGTTCACATCATTACTGGTCTATAGATCCAGCAATTGATTAATTGAAGGAAATTAGGCAACCAACCGCAAAGAAATCTTCAGTCCAGTAGTTCCTTCTCATCACTTTCAATTATTTTTGCTCTGTCGAGCGCTTTGGACTTCTTGTGATGCTGACGGATTATGCTGATACTGCTTAACAGACTTATCATTCCTCAGTTTTGACAAGGATAACGGTCATGAAAGAGAGCGGTCTCCTATACCTAATCTTTTTTTCTCATGCTCTTTGATCAATGGCTTTTTTGACGTACAAATTCCATATAGTTTTATGAGGCACTTCGCTACTTCACTGGTATGCATTTTGAAATGGATTAGTGATAATAGGAAATAGAAAGCAGTACAAAGAAACGTGCAAAGTCGGTTGACGTTAAAAGGTTCGTGCGACTCTTACTATTAGATGCGGTTTAGTGGTTACAAAATTCTGTACTAGATTTTGCACAAATTCTGATTTACCTCCACTGAAAATCTCTGCCACAAAAAGGAAATGGCAAAAAGTGCAAGCTAGGGACGTTCAGCGTCATTCATCTCTCACTGCCATATTGCAGAGTTCGAACAGGTCGTGCAACTCGGGATTTGATTCATTTACAGCGATTGGATAGTATTTCTATCACGTTGTAGTCACTGATTTTTGCTTCGTGCACGAAAAATCTACTAAGAAAATCCTACATTCAGGGAACACTACTGTGGATGACAATTACGCTTATCACTGAAAAGTTCGAGCAGTTTACGCCACGCAGCGAATCATTCAATTGACGCAAAAATTTACACAAATTGTTTTAATGATAAAGTAAGTCCATTTGTCTGAATGCTTCAGAAATCCGTGATAGTCACATCATAAATGCACATCATCATTCACTTGTTTACATTACCGTTCACTTGTTGATTTATTTATTCACTGCTTTATATACATGATTATATACACATACTATATACAGGAAACGAATTGTAGGCGTTATAGTATGATCATGCAAATGCAGGATCATCACTAGGTGTCATAAAAAGTGATTGATTATGAAGAATCTACAAAATCGAGGTAGTGCTCGACCGAACACAATACCATCAGCAGCGTCAATGTGAAAAATGAGGGAGATAGTTGATTACGTCAAGATCTACCTCTCGATTGGAACAACAGTTCAAATGATGTCACTCTGGCACGATTTCAGAAATTGATCCATAGGAGTTCGTAGTTGTGAATTTATATTGATACCAGATCGATGCTTGTTTATGCGTCGCTTATGGAAGTTGTATGCAACAACGATTAGTACAAGGACCACAGCGAATATCAATAACCAGAAAGCCGGTGACTGCAATACAAGTTAAATTGTTACTATCCATTGAAATACTAGAAGAGGCTCCTATCATCTTTTTATCAACGGAACCTGTTTTTTCGCAAAATTTTTGGCTCGTTATTGTGAAATAACATTTTTTAAATTGAGTATTCTAAAAGCACAGTGGTTTGTCGAAAATGTTTGTCAGAAGTTCTCAGAAACAACTGCACTTCCCAAGCAAAATGGTACCCATTCAGTGTTAATTTGGCTTCTTTCTGAGGTGGTTTCGCTCATCCCGATTCATGGCTTTACGCACTGTTTGATAGCAAGCGTATTGCTTTCTCTGACAGCGAAGTGGTGGACCGGAAGATTAATCAAGCAGCGCACCACTGATCTGTTATGCTTAATAATTGTATCAATAAACTTCATGAAATACCTTTAATGAAAAAGATGAATGTAAAAGATCAAGTGATGCACGGTGAGTTGAGTAAGCTAGAAGTTCTTTGCTTGCACTGGTTCCATTTGAGATGCATTGCAACTGACAGCAGTTTGATGAACGTGGGCAAACAAAGTAGATAGCATTTGGCTAAACAGCAAATTTACTTTCAAAAAGGGAAATCTCGATTGATTCAGAGCCTTACGCTCCTTGAGATCCAACTACATGTGGATGATAAAGTGGTGAGCAACATTACAATGAATGATTTTTTCTGCTTGAGTTTAATCACTCGCTAACGTTTAGTGACTTATTTTTTAGGTATTTTCAAATCAGATGATTTTTCTTGTTCTTCATTACTAATGATACGAAACGACCGTCTTCATTCAAGGTATGAGGTCAGTACAACAATACATTATAAACACCAATGAAGTGCTATCAAAAGTCATAAGTTCTGAATTGATGGATGATATTTCGGAAAAACCATTCGACATAGAATTATATTTTAGGCATCTATTCTCTGTGGTTAGAATGTTGCAGTTGCTTTAATAATTAATGATAAGACTTGTGCGAAGTAGAGCAAAGGATTATCAGTAACAAAGAGTTGTAAAAGAATTTGAACACTGACCGGTTGCTCCGTGGTAAGACGTGCAATACGACGTAATGGATCCTCATCACCAAGGTAATAAATACAGCTGATCCGTTCAATGACTCGTGTCTGATGCAGTTTTCTTAACGAGTAAATAATTTCATCGTGTACGAGAAGTGAATCATCACTGATTCGTCGAAAGTCACTTGAATCCGTAGGAGGTGATGATATGGCTATGAATTTCTGAAGATTGATATCGTGTCTTGAGATAATATTACTATAAATACACTGATCAGTGAAATAAATCAAAAATAACACCGAAACAAATATTCCGGTATTAAATTTCCCTAACGAAGTGAGAGAAATTGCTGAAGGGAAATTTGATTCATTTCATTGCAGCAGTATTTCAGCTGTGAAATGATCCACTGTGGATCATTCCACTGTGGAATGATCCACTGAAATCAAATGTGTTCTAATGAGCTTGAAGAGATCATTGAAAGTTACCTCCTGAATAATACGTGTGACTTGAGGACAGCAAAATAAGCCACAACAAACAGTATCCGGTGGACACTTGAAATGGAGTCGATTAAATGGATAAGCCTCTTCATTCGGTGAAACGTGAATATAGATCGGTATTCTAAAGAGATGTTTTGACTCGAAACGGTAGGTACACTCTCCCTTTGCAAACGTTGGTTGTAAATACAACTGACGATTATCGATCATCTGCAATAAACAATCTCACCCTGACCACTAAATTCTCATGCAAAAAGCTCATTATGAAGTAACAGTTTCACGAATGCAACTGCACGTACTGTGTGTGTGCATGAAACAAAAGAGGCATTAGTGTCTTCATTGCTTTTTTCTTCTTCACAGAATTTAAAACATTCAATATTGCTTGCCAAATGAGAGGTTACAAGCTCGATCAACTATCTAGAAGTCAAAAACTCATATTCAGCCTACGTTTCATGATATTTAATTGAAAACAATCGATAAGTTAATAAGCAAATGCAAACAGCAGCCAGTAGCAGACAATACGGCCCTGGCCATCACTTCTTAATACCTGTTTAACAATCCAAAATTAGGTCTTTTATTTCTATCATTAGTTTCAGCATGTTGTAAATGAGTGCGTGTAACGCTTTGTTGCTATTCATCTTGGCACTATCAATGAAATTAATTTATCATTCAGAACCAGTTTCTGTCTGCATACTGAACTATCGTGGCGATTGCTAATTGTAAGGCTCTGTCGATAGTTGTGCTGATTTTGCAATCAGTTTCTTAATGCAGATGATGCCAAACTGATCTGCTGATTGTGAGCGTCGAACGCTACAGTCGGAACGTATCGAAATATTTATCGTATAATTGCTATTGATGTATTCAGTCACGTCGATACGATTATTTGTATGCATACCTTGAGAGGAGAATTGCTCTTTGGATCCCCTTTTATAAATATTTGTATAGAAAAGCTGACTGTATTTCAGTTATCAGCGATCAGTGCACATGATGTACACCGATATCAGCAATGCATACTGATAAAAGCATAAGCATCGTATACACATATACACGATTACAACTGCTAACATGACTGTAACTGTTGAAGCATTCACCAGAAATCTTCTTTGTTAGCTGATCAAAGGGAAGAAACTCGAATGGATTAGTTCATAAAAGACAATACTTCTTTGTTGAATGAATCGTCAACGAACCAAAACATTCGCCTCACTGATCACTTTACGAGCACTGTGTTGACCTGTAGAATAATCAACAAATGTCTCTTCGTGTGCATATCGACGTACGATGTGCTCAAGCAGCAGATTCGTTTGCCAATGCGGATACCTCGCCGAACATATTTGTTCCAACGCCAGGTTGCTGTGTTGCAGCATAACCACTGCTAGCATAAGTGAACGAAGCATTCTTATTTGCCTGAAGTTTCATTTGTTTCTACTAAGATTTTAGGAATGCGAAAACGATTTAAGAAAAAATAACCATTAGATTCAGAAAGGTAGATTATCAATTATTAATGCATCAATAACGGTGGTCATGAATGAATTGAAGAGAATTTTTTGACACTTTTCAAACGTGCCTACGTGGTACCAAGAGAAAATAAGCCAATGACTCGCTTGGGAAGTAGGCAGAGTGTCTACCATGTTGGTCTTATAAAGTTAATAAACAGTTTCATTATTGACATTAAATGTTTTCATGTAGGTGTAATATTATCATATCAAAATTGACTCTTATCAGCAGAATTTATCATCGATGCCTCAATGCTTCTACCTAATTCACATACAAATTTAGAATACCAACAAACCAAACAAATCGTTACAACGCCTTTCATAAATGCCTTTCTGAATTTAATGAGCAATCTTTTAGTTGTTGTCACGTTGAGATGATTTTTTAAACTGAATTTTAGCCATCAAATTTCTTTTTACTTGTCGAACAGGAAGACCTATAAGCAAATCACTAAGAATGATTCACAAGCAGTTATAATAGTCTTCATGCGCTTTTAATTCTGTGCTCTTTAAAGCTATCGTTTGAGTTCAGTTAGACTTTTTCGTCGAACAATATTACGATGAAATGAAATTTCACGTGGAAAATATGAAAAAGGCAGTGATTCTCACTTTTTACAAACAAAATAATTCATCACATGATAGGACTTGTACTTCAATGATGCTCGCCTTGCAGTTTCAAGTTAATAAAACCAACGAGAAGATCTAATGATAAGGATATCCGAGTATTTGTGCAGTGAGATTGAGATCTGGTGCATATTACAATTCTTTACACTCTCCTGTTCTCATTTTAGTGCACAATTTCAATCTGCAGTAAATGCAAGCGAACTGAAAGTAGTAAGGTGCGAGTGAACAACATTTATCAAATGGACTGATTGACGTCTTCATTTGTTCACTCAGTGAAAACAATTTTTCGCTTTTGAAAGATCGTAGAGAAACCAAAACCAGGATTTTTATGATCCTAAATTTGTGTGAAATCAATCGACGTTGATTTCTCGGTAAAGTTTAAGTCACATCCCTGCTAACATTCAAAAAATTATATGCTAACTAAGCAACCTGGGAGGCATTCGCCAGAAATTCCATTGAGTAACTGAAATAGACTATCTATTTCACATTGAGTTTAGTAAATGAGATCTTTTGTTGCTTCTTAACAAGCCATTATTGTACGTTTAAATCTCTCAGAAAAAATATGGTGGCGAGAGCGAAGTTGAGAGAATTACTTCAGAACAAGTTGACCATTTTGTAAATAAAAGTGCTGAAATGCTGTTCATTTATGAAGTCATCATTCTTGTGATACAACGCAAAGCCAACACGACTTTCATTAGCGAATATTTATCTTCTTTTCGCTGTTCCTATTAAACATGAACAGCTCGTCAAGCGAAATCATTAGTTATTGTCGATTTCTGAAAATCACTGCTTGTTGCAACAAAAATTCAAATACTATAGCGATGTTTTCTGATAAACATGTTTTGATATGCGCGTGATTATGTTTATCAAAGCGTTATTTATGTACCACTTTCGCAACGAAATACTAGCCGATGCTCTTCATACGTCATCACCTAAAAAATTGCACAGCGGTCCAGAAATACGGAATGATTAATGTGTTCTAGTTATTAGAATGCATAACTCTAACTCTCATGAGTGATTAGAAGTTGTTTGATGTCTTTGTGAAGGCAGCAACTAACTTATTTCGAGCAACTGTTTTTCAGCATTCCACTCTCTGATTTGCTTTCCACTTGCATTTTGAAACTTTACATCTGTACGAAGAAATAATTTTAATGCATCCACTACGTATAATGATGTTATTCATATAAGCTGCACGAATTGTGATGATCTCTTTTTGTTTCATTTCATGCGTAAAGCACTTACTATTTATTGTGATACTTTTCAGACTGTTTTTTTTTATAAAGTTGAACTTAAAATATCACTGAATTGTTGTGAATATAGTATATTCAAGCAAATTTTGTTTCATCTCACATAATGCAATGTAAACTTTCAAATTCCGCTTATTTTATGAAAATATTTGTAGATATTTTACTCCGCTTATTAAAATATTTTATTTTATGAAACTCGTTAGTATCAAAAAGCAGTTGCAATTCAATATGCCATCCTTAAGCAAGATTATTCCTGCAAATAGTTTAAATTTCCAATCGTTGCTATCAACCGCTGAAAGAAGTTTTCGTGACGTCTCGCTCGATGTAGACTGAAGGCATTAATTCTTCAAGCTTTCAAATGGAAGTATACTTCGACTGCTGTTTTAGGCGATAACATTCAGGGTTCATCCACGAAGTTGATAAACTTTTGTGAGTTCAGTAAGTAAAAAGAATGCATGCAAACAAGCTTTTTATTGTTAGCAAACGATGTGACTTATCTGGAACACTTCGTATCTCAGCTGTTCCTTGGTAATGTTGCGAGTCATAGTCACTCGGAATTGTTGACATGTATCATTTATCAACAATTTCTCATTATTCGACGGTATTGCAGTGTGAACGAACGAAATCGTCATGGACTCTGAGCCACTGAGGAATACAGAAATTTTATTGTCACACATCTATAATGCAATTGCCGAACATAGAAGCTCACAACTTATCGCACTCTTATATGATCGCATTTTGCGTCTCTCTGGAAGGTCTTCATTAACAAGGTAATGCCACCATAACTTTTACTTAAGTGGAATCAATTCTTATAAATCCTCATCTGAATGAACTTTGCGAGCATTTGATCCAGTAATTCGATGGGTGAATTCCAATTTCTCTTTTATTCGAAGCAACATTTCCAAAACGCATCAACATCTCGCCATTAAAATCTCATACTGACTCATCAATGAGCTGTCCTTGGCAGTTTGCGTGTTTTTTTTTTGCTGATTTTACACTGCATTCCAATGATTCCTTGAACTCAATGATTTGAACTGATTAAATTCAGTACAATCAAAAAAGTTTGTTCTTATCTGAAGAATTCCAAAGTGCGGCATTATCTGTAGAAATATTTTCGATTGCCTAGTTTAAAAAAAAGAGAGAGAGAAATGTTGCATAATTTTATGTTCTGCTCTTAGCTGAAGGATTTTGAAATTTAAATTTCGTTTTATGAATACAGCTCATTTTATTCTTCTCCCTTCTGTAATTATGACTAATGAAATGCGATTAATACATCTTTTCTGATGACTAGTAAGCGTTTTGTTGATTAGGTTCAATAAGTTCAATTACTTTAAGGTATCAGGTTGAAGCTTTCTTCAATATGCTCGAATTGCCCAGCGCAAACATACCTGAATCATTGAACTGTAATGAACTGTGCGAATTGGTCGAAAAAAGTTTCGATGATAATTATGGAGACATCACAAGTGGTGGGCATATATTTCAATGTTCGTACGTATAAAATTGAAAATAAGATGAATATGGTTATTCATTTTGTTTTTTTTTTTCAAAACGATGCTATCCGATCGTTTCACCTAATGATCATCCGTAATTTCGCTTGTCTGTGACTGCAGTTGGTATGAAATGATGCAAATTCAAGGGGATGAATTTAAGAGATTACAAAACTTCACCATTGCAGATAAAGATAATCGTCTGAAAGTGGCCAAAAAATGTGTTGGAAACGACGAGGCAAATTTTGACGAGCTGAAGATTCTTAGCACATTAAACACTTTACGAAAAAACATGAAGTGTTGCACAAACTCACTCAGATTCATTCGAGAAGAAAATTTGGTTAGCATTCAGCTTATTGTAGCAATAGAGGAATAGATGATACAACGGGAAATTCGCATTCAGTGAGAATTTTCGATCGAAGCTCTGTTGCAACTCATTATCATTTATAGCACTGTTTGCTTTTTGGACGAAGTTTTAAATTCATCAGGTCCCACACGTTCGGATAAAACAGAAGCGAAGGTTTCATCATCAATCTTCCCTTTGCTTTGATATGATTTTTTGACTTCTTTTGAGCGAGCTACGTACTTTTAAAAAAATGTCTCTGTGATCCAAAGAATCGTTGCATGAATCCAGTCTTGAGTCGAGTGTCGAGCCAAATCCAGCTTTAGGTGCACATTACGGCATTACACTGTCAAACGAACAGGAACTGAATGTGACAAGTATGCAAAACAGGAAAGTTTCAATGCTAAATGTAACAATAAATGAAAGAGCCAGGATAGCTCTAGGAAATCGAATAGGTCAAGAATTATTCGAGTGCAGTTTCGAAACTTTTACAACCACAGAAAATCCCATCATAGTAATGGTGTTTTTTGTTCATATGACTGATCTGTTGTGATATTGTCGTTTTTACACAGAGTGCAGCAGGGTAATGTCATAATGAGTTATTGTTATTGTAAAGTGGTAACATCAAATAATCGATTCCCAAACAGTGATTGTATTATGCGATAGTTTTACATTTGTTTTTGAATGTTATTTTACGGTTCCTTTATAAGAGATCATGTTAAGGACTGAAAAGGACCTCGCTTCGATTAATTACATAAGGAATGTTTATGATAAGGGGATATTATAATGAAAAATTTTAAGATTCGTACAGTCCTGAGACAAGAACGAGCAATTAAAAAACTGAAAAATAAATTGGCAGAAGCCGAACGAACAGCCGATCTGCTCGCAGCCGAATATTTTGCAGAGAGGTGAAATCATCTTGATTTAGTGCTCCGTAAAAGGATTTTTGAAGCGTCGCGTTAAACTTCCAAAATTGCGATTTTCCACAGTGAAAGACAATCGTTTTTGTGACATTTATTGCAGTCTTTATCGGAAAGATGTATATGATAATCATCTTGTATTCATCGCATTCACCACGTGTTCATTTTCATCCATGATAATGCCTCCAAGACCATAAATAAATGCTTACTTGCACCTTATTGCCGCACTTTTCTTTCGCCCAATTGAACCGACTGACATAAAGTTCTGTGATAATGATTTAGGTGTAAAGTGTCATTGCTAAATGAAAACTCGGAATGCGATTCTGGATGCAATACTGAGCGTAGCGCATCGCCAAACAGTTCAACATCGAAAGGAGTGATTATGAATAGGTTGTTTTTGTGCATATCATCCAATGTTTGAAAAAATATTCCTCTCATCTGCAAGGAAATATTTCCATCACGACGATCGTTACTATGAAAAAAAAATTTACACTTCAATGGTACATTTCCTCACTATTAACAACATAACTTACAGAAAGAGAATGACTAATCGAACAACTGATGAATGTGCTTGTAATGGTGCAGAGAGAATATTTGTCGGTAAAGGTGAAAAAAACAATGATCTCGGCAGCTACAGACAAATAGCAACATCACCACATTCAGTGAGTATAATGTGGATGTGTAATCCATCAACATCGTTCATACCATCGAATAGAATACTTGAATGTGATTCATTGAAGAATCCAGGTGAATCAACAAAGGAGAATGGCGATTTATTTAGCAGCAAGCATATCATCGATTATGTTTGCTGCAGTGTGGCGCTGCAACGAAGGAGCATACCGAACAATACTCAACCACATCCAACTGTAACCCAACAAACGAACCCATCAGCTAACAATCATCAAACACGAACATCTCCGCAACCAATCTGTCGCAGTGAATGCGTGGCTGTTGATGTGACCGCATGTCGTAAATCCTCAACCCAAACTGTTCGTTGGATTCAAAAACAAAACTCTTCGATAACTGTGTGCGTGAAACGATCGATGAATCGTCGTAAACGAATACAACTTCAACGACTTGAACTGAATTCAAATTATAATTTGTTTGATCCGAGTATTCACTTCGATTATAAGCGACTTAAAATGAAAAGAATTATAGAATATAAAATACCATTGTTATGCAAAATAAACTGATATCATTCGAACTTTTTTGTTTTTCATAATAATTTTCCGTATGATTTTATGACTCATGATAAGGGAACAGTTGTGGCCATACATTTTGAAACATATCTCCGAGCAATTACCAGGCAACGAATTTTTTCTGCCCCGATCTTAGTTTTATGACTATGGCTGTTCGAGATTCGATAATTTTTCTGATGCCGCACATTTATTCAACCTCCTCTCCACAAACGGGGCAAGTCGAACCTAAAATTGAGTGAACTGTTTTAGAAATGCTGAAGATAACTGACCATCTTTCCAAAGCAGAGTTCATAATCACCGAGTTATGTTGCTGAGAACGCGGAACTTCGGGGACCTTGTCCCCGGAGTTTTTAGAAGGCGGCTGCATTTTCGCAATTACCGACTGCAAATTTTTGTCCCGACTTTCCCCGCCTCCAACTTTTCCAGAATTGACGGGGAAGTATTTTCGGGGAATTCCTCCAACGTTTTGCGAAAATGCTAAACTATAACGAGAAGTAGTGATCATTAGGAGTCATAAAAACTACGAATTCATCAGGAAATTCCTGCTTATTCCATCTAACTTAACAGAGCGAAAAATCGGAAGTTGTATATTTACTCACCTATTGCTGCTTTTATAATTATATTCTTAATCATACGTATCATTAATACTATTTGCGTCAACAATACTTATATTATCATCATCATTACTGCTACCACTGTTAAGTAAAATATAACACTTGATAAAATCGCTGACCGAATACAATTAGTGAATTGCGAGAGGAAGTATAATTGATGTTTCAAAGAATTTAGAGGATACAATAAGGCGCCCAGTAAAATTTCCATGAAAGAAGCGTACAATACAAAAGTATCTAGAATTAACAGACGTTGGACGAACTTTACCATTATCTTAGTTATTAAGATGATCAAGTTATGAGAATGAAGTTTTATTAGCATAAAATGAGAATATAGATAAACATGCAAATATACTTCATCACATATCAAATTCAACAGATATGAGCGGAGATTCATGCAACAAGGCCGGAACGAAACAGATGGCCACTACAACAGATATGAGATAATGAATACGAATCAATCGGAAAGGCGAATCATTCCTTCCCATAATGCTCGTTTTGATTGATCTTCTCGTTACCATTATGTTAATTTTGCTATCGTTAATATTATTATTACTGCTTTCATTGTAGCTGGTATTATTTTGAGTAGAAATATTATTGTTAATGAAGTTGTTAGTATTATCAGTACTGTAATTATTATTACCATATTCATATTATCAGTAGTGTTATCATTAGCATTTAACCCCCGTCGAATCGAAAGTAGATCTTCATGAACTTGAAAACTGATTACGTTATTATGTGGGTTTAATTATCCAACTTTGAAAATAAAAACGATCACTAACAGCAATCGTTACAACGACTAATTCACGTGCGAACTACGTAATTACTGCCGCAAAAAAAACGGTTGTTTGCATCAACTTCAGCTTCTAAAATCCATAAAGTCCGAACCCTGGATCGCACGATGGATACCAGTGAGCTGGAGTGGCACATCCAACAATTTTACACGAGTTAAGGATGATGCAAAGATCGAGAAGTATCTCAATTTTGCAAATGTTCCTCAGTGATGGATACAGAAAATTTCAGTTACTCCATATATATGCCAACTGTGACCATTGAGTGTCATCACTGATCACACCAAACGGCGTAACTCCCTTAACTTAGCAATGGCGTCGAAGTTCAATGCATTTTTGGAAATTATTGGTTCTCGGCTACAAGGTAGTACATATCTGGGTTCCGAATTTTTTCTCTCAAGACGGAGAGAATTTCAATTAACCCAGTATATATGTCAATTGTGACTATTGAACATCACCGCTGATCACACCAAACGGCATAACTCTCGTAACTCAACAATTGGCGACAATGTTTAATGCGGATTTCTATAGCACTCAATCTTGGTTACAAGATGGTATATATCACGCTTATAAATTTCTCTTGTCGGGTGGGTACCAATTTAAATTATTTCTTGAGCTTTTGCACTTTGTTGCGACTGAAATCGCGAGATGAGATAAAAGGATGAATCGTAAAACTTAGAATAATCTCAAGACGTTTAGCTAAATTTAGAAGAATAGAGCATACGGTATAAAATATATAAAACATAATAATTCAACAGATGTTGAATTTATTGAGATGATGTAATGATGAGAATAAAAAATGACGTTATGTCAATACAGATTAATATTTAGATAAGATGTGCGTAGTGTTTTTTGCCATATTAAACAAGATTGACTGAAAAAATTGACTGAAGTTTTAGTAGTAAGATTTTATGGACATATAGATCTGGAAAGAAAGATTCCATGTAATTTGAAAATAAGAAATTGCGGAAAGAATTATTGAGAAAGTTTTCGAAAGAAAGAGTTTTGAAAGTTTTCGAAAGAAAGAGTTTTGAAAGTTTTCGAAACAAAGTTTTGGTAGTAAGATTTTGTGGAATTTTTAGATCCGGAAAGAAAGATTCCATGCAATTTGAAAATCAGAAATTGTGGAAAGAATAATTGAAAAAGTTTTCGGAAGAAAGTTTTGGTAGTAAGATTTTATGGACATTTTAGTCCCGGAAAGAAAGATTCCGTGCAATTTGAAAATCAGAAATTTTGGAAAGAATCATTTTAAAAATTTTCAAAAGTTTTGGTAGTAAGATTTTGTGGACACTTTAGATCCGGAAAGAAAGATTTCATGCGGTTTGAAAATAAGAAATTGCGGAAAGAATCATTGAGAAAGTTTCCGGAAGAAAGATTTTTAAAATTGATAGTAAAATTTTAGAAAGTCTTGATAGTAAAATTTTATGGAAATTTTAGTCCCGGAAAGAAAGATTCCGGGCAATTTGAAAATCAGAAATTATGAAAGAATCATTGGGAAAGTTTCCGAAACAAAGTTTTGATTTAAGAAGGTATTCGAAAGAAGGATTCCCAGAAATTTTTCCGTATGTTGATATCAGGTAGAAAGATATCATGGAATTTTTCGATCAGAAATCATTGATCAGAAATCACCCTTTTATACATTTCGCTTTGGGCGTATTCCCGCTTCGGGAATATTTAAATTCGGTTTCGCCAAACCAAATATTTCAAAATTCCCACCAGCTGAATGTGATGATCTATTGAAGAATAATTTATCAATGCATAGAAACTAATGATGATGGTGATGATCAAAACTTATTGGTGATAATGACCGCGATAAAAAAGAATGCAGCGAGCGATTTTTTTTGCAATTTTGATAGGGAGAGCGGGATCAGTTTCATATTCGATCAGCATCATATTCTCTTTTAAATGGACTACTTGACATTGACCGATCAAATTTCTGTTCCGCCACTTTTTCCATTTCGATCGCTTGCAAAGGCATTATTTTTCGTTATGAAGGTTCATTTTAAGTTACAATCTCGAAAACTAGATTATGAATTCTGCTGAAACCTTCTGTGCTTGTAGAGAATTCAATTTGGAATCAGTCGCGAATGTTGCGCCACGACGATTTCTCGTTGTTAGCTTTCACAGCTACATTCATTCTGTTGGTTTTGTGCGCATTTATGAAGCGTTTTCCTCTAATTCTCTCGCCTTTTAACATTCGGACGCGCGCACGTATGAAAGTGCACTTTGGCTTCTTTAGCCCCAACCGTTTGGAACTTGTGTGATTTGCGCTAACGAAGTGTTGTGTAAAACGTTACTCGGCACTTATGCTGTTTAGTCCCTCCACCCGCACGCAGACAAGCGTGCATTACCATTTGCGCTTTCAACAACACCGCCGCACGTTGTCATGCGCGCTTTAGGCCACACCCATTCTGTTACGTTGGCCTCGGCCATTCCCTAGCACCCAGTGGGCGTGGCTACGCGCACGCGCGCGTGATCTTGCGTACGGGTGGAGGGGATAAGCAGCACGGGGTTGGTAACAGAAGCCAAATTGCACTTTTGAAGCGACGCGGT